ATCAGTTGGCACTGCAATGATTAAAGTCATGTATTAGTTGCCAACTGACAAGGCAGATCATCAGCATCATCATCGTAACATTCTTTTTTTAAGCATACACATATGCTTAAGACATGAAACTAAAAGAATGGCAGAACAGTTCAGATATTAATATATATAAATAAAGTTTGAAACCTTTAGCAGAAATGCACAACACATTTAAGTTGGTTGCACAAAGCAGTGCCCACATAAAAGCCGCAAGAAAAATGTAAATCCAAGGAGGAATAACAATCATCGTCGTAATAAATAGACAAAATGTCACCAAAATTTACTGCCATGTTGGGATTAACAGGTTGTTAGCACATGGTATGCAAGAAACCCTGGGTCATGGTGCCATGATCTCAAACCCACATGACGCCAATCCAAACACAGAAAAAAAAGCCCCACCACACCATCGCGAAGCCAACACGTGAAAAGTGCTCCACCATCCACAGCCATCACATTATGTTCTCTTGGCTCTGCTCTCGTCTCCCCAGTCCTCTCCCAGCTGCCCTCTGCACAGTTCAAGGGACCTTGAGGAAAATATTTCGGAGCGGCCCTTCCGTAGCCTGCAGGCATTTTAAAAGTCAGCCACCCTTTTTCAATCGCCGAATCAACATTGCCGGGAATTCGACGAGGATGCTCACCCACCCACCGGCTCCTCCTTAGGCGATTCGCGAGGCAAACGGCAGGTTGCTCGTTAAGTCAGCACGGCCCACTCGCTACGCCGAACGTTCGTTCCTTGCACCGTCCGCGATCCAGATTTGTCAAAAAAATTATTCCGCAAAATTACTCGGTGTAGATTATACACACGGCGGCAATCATCGCCCCCCTACTGGCAGACTGCAGCCCGTTTGCAGGCCACGTCCTGGGTCACCTTGTGCCCACAGGGACAGCAGCTGCCACTTGGGGGAGTCCCATTTTCAAATTTGTCGAGATGAGATGTGATGTTAAGCACTCCGAGATGCCGCAGAGGTATATAGGAGGGCCCAATAGCAAAAATAATATCTATCCTATTGTTATTATTCTGATAGAATGTCTCTCAATTTATGCAGAATATACATTAAAGATTAACAAAAAATATTTTTCATGTGCCTTCAATCAATGGATTGTTTAGATGGAATGTTCTCTGGCAAGACCGCGAGATATGGCGACAACTTGGGAAGGCCATCATCCAGCAGTGGATAATATCATGGCTGTGGCTGCTATTTAAGATGATGATGGTCATGATGATGATGGTGATGATATGTAAATGATTTACAAATGTTACATTTAGCCGAACTTGGTGAACAAAACTGTGCAAAATGAGATAGAAAAACAACTAAAAGTGCCAATATAAAATAGACCGTGAATATTGGACAACAACGGAGGTAACGCTGGGACTGAATCGTGACCCGGTCAGCTGCACGTGTCCAGAGGAGGCACGGGATGACGCTTCGATGCAATCACTAAAATCAATTCTTGCCCTCGTGTTACGACGCATATCATCACGCCAGTGAGAATCACATATTTGACGTTCATTCCAACTACCGCAACCGCACGTGCAAATGAAATCCGCATGCCGCATTCGGGAGAATGAAACTAACAAGGCATACCCGTACACGCAGTGGCCATACCACACACTCAACGCAAAGCAATGCAGTCCAAACGAGACATTGACAAAAAACACTATCGACATATACGAATCCCAAAATCGTAATAAAATCGGGGCAATTCACCGATTCGCGAATGGCGGGAAATGAGTGGCGAGCGGCCTTACGATGAGCAGGTGAGGAAGCCGAGGTGCCATTTATATCGCCTCGTTTCCACCAGCTCTACTCTCCAATCTTTTGTAAAAAAAAACTTTGTAATACGAGGTGGGGGGGGGGGCGCTTTGTGACCATACCTCCCCACTCTGGCCAGCGTGCAACCGTGGGGTGGCACAGGACAGGCTCTGGCGTTCACTCGCCACTCACGCTGCTCGCCTTGGGGGAGATATGAAATGGGGTCAACCAGTCGCATAGTGAAGCGCTGCTCTGGTCACTGTGTCACCAGCCCCCCCCCCCGCCCCGTGGCAAGCGTGTCGTCCATAGAGACAAGTTGCATTGTGAACATTAAAACAATCACATCGTGCCATTTTCGTAGATAAATTGTGAAAGGACGTGTGTCCCAGTACATCACGAGGCAATGATAACAATGGCGATTTTTTTGTTGTGTGATGCTGGGTATTGTTTTCTTCTTTAGATATTTGCACAGCTCACTGGGTTCCATAATTGTTTTGATACCGGATACCAACATTGCAATAACAAGAACGCTCTGTTTCAATGGCATCATCATCATCAGACGTGGTCAATCCACTGCTGGATGAAGGAATGCACACACGCTGCAGTCACCAGCGCACCATGGAACTCTCTCGCCAGTCGCACGCACACTCAAGAGATCTTGAATAACCATTTATTTTAATCCTACATTTTTAAAATGCTATTAAGCTTGCTTCATAATGTATCAATCTGTAGTTTTAAATACACGTTCTCCCTTTTACCCAAAGCTTTCGTTTAATTAACACTTATCGTTTTGAAGATTTTACAATTCGTTTTAGACAGTAGAGTGCCCTGGGACGAGATGTTACGAAAGGGGCGGCGTAAGCTCGATTCATTATTTTAGTGGTGAAGTTCACAGGGTTGCACTGCCTTGCCCTACGCCCACCGGGGCTTCACTTGCCGAGCACGGCAAGTGAAACGGGGGGCGTCCGCGTGGCTGACGCGAGCAGGGCTCGCGCTCCGTGTGAAACACAGTGCTGATATATTCTTAGGTTTTTTCGGTAAAGTCACGTAGGTAAAAAATTAAAATTAATAAAAGTAAAATAAAAATAAAATAAAAATCACGACGTTGCTGACAGGCGCTCCACTTTCTCTGTGGCTGCCCCACCAGCAGCTGGGTGGTCTCATGACCACCACCACCACTACCCCAGCTGTGTGGCCTCTTGACTCCGGTTCAGCAAAAGCATTATAAAACACCAGGGCAATCTGCCTTGCAAGTTGTGTACCACGCAATGATTCTGATAGCACGCTTACAGCTATTTCCCTTTCACAATTGGTAGCATCGTCGCTCGCCGCATTCCAAGGCAGTCCATTGTGTGTGTGTGCTTACAGAGAGGGATACAAAATGTGAGAGATCATAAAGAGTAAGTGCGTGTGATTTTTTACAGCTTCATGGGTGGTGAATTTAACGCTGTGAAGTGGGCTCCTAGCTTTCTCCATAACCACCAGCGCCTAACCACACTCTTTCACGAGACACGCACTCTGGCCCGACTGCAGTTTGTAAAATTCCACAAAAACAGGCACGTAAAAAAATATATATATATTTAAAACTAGACACGCCTACATCATTGTTCAGAGACAATCACTGCCAGGAAATTGAGCCCCATGCCATCGTGTGTGCGAGATGTCAATGCCGGGTGAGACAACTTGATCATCGATTGCGAGCATCATCACGAAGTTATAGCTGTTTTTTATTTCACAGGTGAACGGGGTGCACAACTACACGAGCTAATGCCAGTCCGGTGACGCACACGCGCTTGTAAAACAAGATAACACTGTGATCTCGTGACGCTTCAACTTGGGCATATTTCTTTAAATTACATGTTTCGTTTCAGCCCAGTAAAGCGCTTCATGCAAGTTTTGCGTTGATGTCCCGACTGGCGCTTCTTTTAATCGCGTAGTGCATTCGGACAGGCGAACATCTGCTCATAGCCTTGAGGTAACACAACGGATGACATATCCACTAAAAGATATCGTATGTCCTAGGATACTAAATTACAATTAATCCAATTATCCTTTAATGATTCACATCATCATCATCATCACCCACATGCCAAGAGATGCACCGTGACATCTTCCCTGTGAGATTCCTTCAAGCTCACCGCAGGTACGAGCACTCAAGGAAGGAAGCTTTAATAATTTAGTGACTGTGGGATTTTATTCAAATTTGGGCATCACACTGACACACAGAACACACACACACACAGTCATCATCTTGAATTATCTGCCCAAGGACAGCTCTACTGCTCTCCATCCCATCCAACCCCAAATCTTATCCCATTTGACCATCACTGGAAAGCAGACCGTGCTATGAACTTGGCGACCTGAGTTTCATTCCCGACGACAGATAACATCGGTGGCAAACAATATCTAAACCACTCTTGGGTCCCCGTGCATTGACCCGCATAGTGAAATATAGCCAAAACAACCCCCATGAGCGACACAGCATGAGGGAGGCTCTCATCTCGCGGTGAATGTCTTAATTATTGTTCATTACTTTGTTAAATGTTCACAATGTATATAAGCTGCATTATTAGGGGTTTTCAAGTTTGGATTGTAATTTCAGAGCCCCAGACCTATTAACCGAGAAATAAGTTAATGCTGAGCACTCAATTCTTTAAACCTTGAGGTGGTGGGGGGGGGGGGGGGGGGGGGGGGTCAGGAGGGGGTAGAATGGTGAGCGGACTCTCTGGGTGCATGAAATAAAAAGCCAAATGAGCCCTGCAGAGTGGTGCTGTGCTCCCATTTTCTGAAATATTATTCCGAGCCACATCAGGAATATATATCGCGAAGAAATATTTGAAATGAAATTCAACACTAACAATGGATTCTTTTCATATCCCGTCATTCGTGCCATTTTCATCTCAAAAAGCGGTAGAATCTGTAATGCGAACAGTTTTTGAACGGAGGCGTGGGGATCCACGGACAAGCGGAAAGGCAGCCAGCGCCCAAATTTTTCCAAGGTCTGCGGTCCTATGTTGGGATGTTTGGCCAACTCCATTCATGAGCATTTATGCTCATGAATGTGACCTCAAACACAATTTGTTGATTTTTCAGCAGTGTCGATTTTCTGGATTTATTTGTTTAGGTATTACAAACCGGCCTTCAGATGACGCTCTGCGCGACGAGCGATGTACAACGGCAAACCGTACAGCCGTTGCGCGAGGAGGTGCGTGAGCGCACCTTCGGAGGCGCGCTTGAAGAACACCTTGCAGCTGCCGCAGGTGATGACGCCGTAGTGGCAGCCGGAGGCCTCGTCGCAGCAGATCACGCAGATCTTCTGGTTGCCATGGCCACCCTGAACGGGCTGCCCCATGAGCCCTTCGTAGCTGTTGCTGGAATGCAACCAAGGCACAGGGAGCAGAACAACAACAACAATGCGTCAGATGGGTTTTTACCCGATTGTTATAAACAATATTCTTTTCTCGTTATATTTTACGAGTGATTTGTTTACCTTTCCTATACTCTGCACACTTACTGTGTTTTTCTACTGTTTGTTTGTGTAACATTCTGACCTGCCCCAACTGGACATGTGTGAAAAAAGAGCTTTTTATAGCTCATCAGATTCCTCCAGTATAAAGAAATATTGCGATTCTGATTCTGTGTGTTGAACTTCTTTCGCACCCCACGTAGGCAACCCAGTGCGTCGCGCAGAGACTGTGGCACTCCGGGTGCGATACGCTAAGCTGTAGCAAGTACAGCAAATAGGTTGCCGATTTTTTTTTGTTTCCCAGTGTGGATTTAATTTTGCAGGTTATTCGATCACAGTCATGGGTTTGCTTTCAGCTGCTCTGGTCTACGTCCGCAAGTAAAATAACCAATCTCATCAGCTCTGGGTAAGCTAAGCATGTTTGAGCCTGGTCGCTACTTGGATGTGAGACTGCTAGTAAATGCACGGGTGTTGCTGGTTTGAATGCTGCATGACAGCAAATACAGACAATTACAATGCTCAAAATAAAGACCTGGCATGTCAACTTAGAGGACGGAGGCCCTTAGAGATTGAACACATTTCACACGTTTCACTTTGGCACTTGTAAAACACTTGAAATCATACCTTACATATTTTTGAACAGCTTACTAATCCACAACTCTCACTCGCCATGGGGAATGCATAAATAATGATATGCTATTAAATTAGTCCACAAACATTTTATCATCTATTTAACAAGCAATATCTGGTCAACTTAACAGACTCCATGCAGTCTATTCTGGAAGTTAATGCGTTTTACAGTTTTAAAATCCTGCTTTGGTCACGTGATGAATACATAAACTTAATACAAAACAAGTGTTCTGATCACGCTGGAGATGAACTTAATGCTTTGGTTTATTGCCCAGTGTGATACACGCGGCTCAGTCGATCACTTAAAACGCTGCAGACTCATCTCACAGGACACCTACACGTTCAATATCGTGGCTCACGTTCAGCTGTTACCGTCACTTCCTAGGTGTTTTTTGTTGTTGTAAATATGTATTTATTGTTCCCACCACGGGGGGGGGGGGGGGTCGGGGGGGGTACAACTCCGCGATAGGTGAGTGGTGCTTCGCGAGATAGGCGGCCCGGACAGACAACCACCGCGGACGTGTCGGACCGCAGCGTTCTGTGGTGCGTGGTGCGTCAGATCTCTTCTCTTCGGGGAAGGAAGAGGGAGGGAGGGAGGGGAGGGAGATCAGGCAGGTGCCTTTCGCCGCTATGGTGCTGGTAGCGCAGCAGCAGGGGATCTGGTGATGGGTATTTTGAGGATGATTTGTTTATTTATTGGTGTCTATGAACACCGTAACACACAATGGGACTAATGTTACACGGGAAACTCACGTTAAATCTTTGATTAAAAGAAAAATACAAACAAACGACATGATGAACATAGTAAAGTGCCGAAAGACTGAGCATCTTTCTCGTCTGATCGTTTAAAAAAAGGAGGGAGGGGGGCGGGGAGTCTCATCTCAAGTTCCATCGAGTAAACTCAGCGTCTCTGGAGTGGCATTCACGAGAGGGCCCAAGATCTGGGTGAAGAACTCCCCTTCGCTCATTCCTCAGTTTCAGACACAGGTGTCCTTCAGCTGCTCGGGCGAATAGGGATCCGAGGTGTTTTTGATATCGGCTAAAATTAGAATAATAATAATTCGTGATTACTTAAAACGTTCCGAGGTTGCCCAAGCAGTACTGAAAACAACTTTGATATTTAATGTTATTTATGCAGTCCGTATGGCGAGCGTGTTTTTCGGATTATTCTACTCTGCCAATAAAATACCAGTGTTTGGGCTCGACTGGATCTGGGAGAGATCTCACCAAGTCAAAATGTGGGCTTGGTGGACCGCATTGGTCACATCAAAGGTACGCACAAAACCTTGACATAAACAAAGATTAAAACACCCGAGTCCATTTACTTCACATAATCGCAAAAATAATAATAATACATTGCAGCCCTTCGTCATTCAACAATCTAAACTAAAACGTTTTAATTGTACCAGGTCCGCTGAACTATATATCTCTTTTTCAGAAGCGACCGGGCCACAAATGAATGCTCGTGTCAGACAAATACTCGAAACGTGTGATGTTGACTCGGAGAAAAATCCACACGACCACGCGGAGAGTGACGTGCAAACTCTGCATATACAGCAGGCGTCAGGCTTTGGACCGAACCCATGAGTTCCTGTATACCAGGCGAGGTAGTGTTGCGTCTTGCCACCGTGATGCCCCAATCGCGTTGTTCATGGACATTCTTTATCCATACTTCACTACGCTGGTCGGTGTAGGTTGCAGAAGTGAGGGTGAGGTGCCGGGACGGGTGTCAGATATCACCTGCCACTGATTTCAGGTGTGGCTGGGAATCATATTCAGGTCCCCGGCAACGTAGCGATATGCCCTAACAACTATGCCACCACTCCCACGAACACACAAACTGCACTACAAGGACACGTGTGCGTGCACACAAAAACGAGCGGAGCGCTGAGCAGCTAAAACTCAGGGAATTAGCAGAGTAGGGGGCACAGGTGGTGCATCGGCAAGTCATCTCAGTCAACCCATGGAATTTGGATCTGTCCCATGACATCCTGCCAGAGGAACACTTCATGTTATTTAAAGTGCACATAGCCTGGCACAAGCGCCGTGGTGACGTCACCACCACTTACTGATGAATGGCGGTGGTTGTTGTTGTTGCATGCGTGCACAATGCTGCGGCAGCCAGCAAGCTGCGCGATAGACCCGGCCACCTAGGTTAGATTCCATGTCACGGCAAACATCAGTGGCAAGTGGCATTCAGCCCCCGTGTTGTGCCTCTCCCAGGTCGACTTGACCTTAAATGAGCACCTGGTGGTGTAGCCTCTAAACGTCAGCACTGGGCCAACAAAGGTGGCCTGGCATGGTGCTGACAACACCACCACCTTGCTCCATAGCGATATGCCCTAACATAGCAAATGCCTCAGAGGTCTGTAATGGGTATTCATGGGATCACTGTCTTTGTGTATGTGTGTGTATATACACACATACACAATGTAAATTGCAGCTCAAGTACAACACATACAATGGGTAAGAGAAGGTGAAAAAAAAAGTTTTCGAGATGAGTTGGCTAAGTTATGTCCTTGAATTTAATGTGGAGACTAATAACTTACCGCTTACACGACTTTGCCATAAGTGTATTGCAATACACAGAGCCGTATACAAAACTAAGCCACGTTAATGAGGGTGAGCCAGTGCATGCTTCTCACAACATTTTGATTGCTCCTTATTATATACACACACACGCACAGCGCAATCTATACTCCACACAAAGCACAGCATATCTTTAGTCGGCCAGAAAATAATTTCCTTCACGTAATACAATTATTTAGTCAAAGGAATAATTGCACGTGCGAGTGTGTGTGTATGTGTGTGTGTATAGATATGCTCGCTAGCAGCACTTGCCCCAACAGTCTGTTTAGGCTATATGGGGGATCTTTGTCTTGTGCCGCGTAAGAACCCGGCCACCAGAGTTCGATTCCCGCTTACAGCCAACAGCGGTGACGATTATCTGAACCGGTCATGGACCTCCCCTAGGTCGACTCAGCCTCAAATGAGTACCTGGTGCGGTCTGTAAACATCGCCACTGGGGAGACAAAGGCGACCGGGCGTGGTGTTGGCCACCCACCCCCTCGTGTGCCGTGCCGGCCTTCTTGAGGTGCTCGCGAACAGCACTTGCCCCAACAGTCTGTCCAGGCTACACGGGGATCTCTGTCTTTGTGTGTACGAAGTGTGCTCACAAGCGCAACACAAAGCGCGAGTCTTGACAGTGCCACTGGAAACTTCTTCTCTGTGAGATGCGCCTCGCACTGCCCCCCCCCCCCCCCCGGATTTGGGGTAAGGGCAATGTAATTGGGATCCGGCTGTCTTGAGACTCCGTCCCTGACGGTGGAGGCGAGGGCAGATCGGTGCGTGTGTGTGTGCGGGGAGCGGCGGTGCAGCGGACGACAAGCTGCGCTGCAAATCCGGCAGCCCGGGCTACACGGGGGATCTTTGTCTTTGTGTTGTGCGCGCGAGTGCAAGTGTGTGCGTGTGGCACGACTGCTGGCAGGCGCGTCACTTTGTCTTTGTGTTGTGTGAGCGAGTACGAGCGAGTTCATGTGGCACGACTGAGTGTGTGTGGGCACGTCCGCTGTGTGGCACGGCTGCCCGTCAGCGCGTCACGTTCAGAGCATGCACTGCGTATGATCACCTGCATGGGTCCGCTATTGCAGACGCATCCCTTCCACACCAAGGCCCACGGGAGCCAGGGACACGTGCAAAATTAATGGCATTACGCACTGCTACGGTGATACCGTGGCACGATACTTTTGTGCCATGAAAAATGAGAGAGCGAATAAATGGTTTAATGTGGTTTTCCATCATGCACGACAGAGTAACCGAGCAGCTATAAATAATAATTGCCTTTCTTTATAGCAATTATTACTATTGTTACATTCAATGCCAAGAAGACAAAGTGACCCCCCCATGTCAAGAATTCACTTGTGAGTGTAAACCCGGGCTATATACGACTCGGATCCATTATCACTGTCGTCACCCTTCCGTAAAGGGGCACTGAGATGAATGTGCTGACCAATCTCTTGGTAGGAAGCCAACACTGGTTGCGATATGAATCGAGTGATCCTGGTCATAGGAATGTGGAATTTACAGCACTGACTCAGTATCACGCGTGAAAATAAGTATTTCAATATCTCTTCCCTCTAGTCCTCACCGCCACCCAGCCCTCCCCTTCCTTCAAATCATCAGCCATCGTCTTTCTGTGTCTGTGTATTGGCCACTGAACTGGCTGATCATCCCTTCTTCCAGAACTTCCTTTGATGAGCTCTTCTCACCGGTGAG